GAATAATGCCCCATCACTGGTATCAGTGGGAGGAATAGTGCCCCATCATTAGTATCAGTGGGAGGAATAGTGCCCCATCATTGGTATCAGTGGGAGGAATAGTGCCCATCATTGGTATCAGTGGGAGGAATAGTGCCCCATCATTGGTGTCAGTGGAAGGAGTAGCACCTCAACCTTGGTCCCAGTGGGAGGAATGGTGTCCCATTGTTGGTGTCAGTGGAAAGAATGGTGCTTCATTGTTGTCAGTTGGAGAAACCGTGCCCTAAAGGCTGGAAAAAGGCAAGCAAAGGGCTGCATCTATCCCATGGGCCACAGTTTAAAGAACACGGTTTTATATTCCAAACTCTCACTAGTAAGGCTACCTAAACCCTCTTGTATTAAGTTGTATTTGAAAGCTGCTGTCTTCCTTTATTCTACAAAGTGCTGCACAAACTAGTGGTGCCATCAAAATTCTATATAAAAGATAATAATACTATTGTTCTTTTTTTGTAGCCAGGAGACTGAGCTCAGTGGCTTTTCACATGTTTACAGACTCTCTTTAGCCCCTTTGATGGAAAAGGCAGTTGTTTTACAGAGCTAAATGGCTCAAGTTGAAATTTAAACAAATGGGTGAGTGACTCATCAGTGGGTTATTGGATGGCTCTGTCTGAGATATCAGTGGCATAAAGTAAACCAAAAGGCAGGCAGATACTGCTGTACTGTCCCTTTTTAGCTAGCCCAGAATGCTCTGGGAATACTTTATCATGTATTAAATGTTTTATTTACAAAACAAAGATTGTATACTGTAGATATAAACCCTATTTTTTAAAATAAAAATACAGTTTTTAAATAAATGTAATAAGTAAAATACATTTTTAAAATTTCAATTTAAAAAAAAAAACAAAAACAAAAAAAGCCTAAGAAATAAATAGTAATATAGATTTTCTTTACATTAACTCACCCAGGTAAAAGTGTATGTAAAGCCAATTTCCTTTTTGTTTTTTTGTTTTTTAAGATTAAAAAATTGGTATGGTGCACTAATGCTTCATCTGCAACTCTTCTGGACGCCCAGTGCTCCTACTGATTCATTTTATCATGAGATCTACCTACAGCCTGTACTGTTGACATATGTATTTCATTGCTAACCTTGTGATACCTTGACAAAACACTTATACTGTGCGTCTTGTACAATTACTTATATGGTGAAGCATTGTATGTACAGCTCTCAGCTTTTTCTTGCGATTTAATGAAAAAGTGGTAAGGGGATGAAAACCTGTGTCAGTGTTTTTTTATGTTTGCTATTGACATTTCCATGTGGGTGATTTAGTCTCTTTGTTTGTCCTGTTGAACCACTGTTTCATGACTAAGGCTCCAATCACACTTATGCAACTTGTCATGCGACTTTGGGGTCCCAAGTTGCATGACAAGTCGCCCCCCATGTTTCCCAAATGGTACCATTCATATCTGTGCCACTTCAAGTCACAGTGATTTCAAAGTAGTCTCTGCACTACTTTGGTCCGACTTTCATGCAACTTGAGGGCCATAAACTTCAATGTCAACCCAACAAAGTCGCATGAAAGTCGCACCTGAATGTTGTATATATGACTTGTGTGCAACTTGTGTACGACTTTGTACAGCAGAAACAATTATCCTTGGTCAAAGTCGCACTCATCCAAAGTCATATCATACCACTGCAAAGTTGCAATGAACATCGCACAATTTTGAAGTCTCACAAGTATGAATGGAGCCTAAAAGTGAGGAAAATCCTATATTATGGGTTATCAATAGAATAGGAATAGAGGCAAGATAGAGGTGAAAATGAGGGCACTTGTTCTGGTCTCAATTATCTGAGTTGAATGCAGTAGGTTCAACTTCAGCTAAGGTCTTCTACCACAGACCTGCAGTTTCAAGATTGTAGCCCTGAAGAAGGGGTTTAACCCTGAAATGTGTTGGATAAGTATCCTCATTTTCTAATAAATGTGATTTATAATGCTCTTTAACCTTGATTATGTCCATATTTCTGTGCTCAAAGTGGTACATTTTTGTTGCATGGAAATATGTTTTTTTTTTTTTATTGTAGACCTGTAATTTTTAGTAATAACTCACTGAAATCTGTCCGAACAAGAGTCTAGTAAACATCCCGGGTATGTTAAAATTGCAAACACGAAATCATAAATTATAATTTAATAAATAATCATAAAAAAATAATATAATAAGAATAAATTTAATTCAATAACATAATCAAACCAAAAACACTGAAATTTGAAATATAGCGCCAAGTTCGCACATCACTGAGCAAAGTCACAAAATCGTTTTCAGTGTCTGATGACGAATTCCCCCACGAATCATTATCACTCAATTCTGCAAGTGGTTCTAATTTACTATCGCTGTTCTCTAGCCGGTCTAAAACCGCTTTTGACCTAAAGGGACGCTTTTTGGACGCCATGGACTTTTCTAAGTTTCCAGGCAGAAAGAACAGTAAAAATGCAGGCAGGGCGCCGGACAAAGCACTCGGGACAAAATATATGTGAAATGGTTTGATACAGTAATGGAATACTATGTGATTTTAGTGTATTTAGTGAATGTCACTTTTTGTCATTTTCAAATTTCACGCCGTTCCGTTCCCGTACGTCCTGACATCACAGGGAATGGAACCCAGAAGACAGATGCCGGCATCGGCCAGGGGACATTGCCGGGGACACTGCAGGGGGGACATCGCGGGACCGCAGGACAAGGTAAGAGAAGAACAGATCCCGGAGCAGCACCGCAGGGTATTCCCGAGTGCAGCTCGGGGTTACTGCTTGTGGTACTGAAACTTTGCTCTGAGCTACACTCAGGAATACCTCCAGGGAGGCTACGATGCTTTATCTATGGTGCTTTTCACCCACTGCTGCAACTGGAAAGTGGGTGAAAAGCATCACACACACCCTGGGTTTCTTTACCAATAGAACCATAAAGATTTCCTCCCCATCTATAAGATGGAATGCTACCGTTCTACATACCTCACTTACTACTGTGTCTGAGCGAGAGAGGAAATAAAGGGAAATCTACCAACTGGGACACAGATGACAAAAGCCGATAATAAGTTTTAAGCTTCCCTACTCGCTTTAGGGGAAAGGTTGAGTGATGGTAAAGTAGACTAATATTTAAAATCTAAACTTTGACTGTCTTGTAGGAATATTTTTGCATTTTTTTTTTTCTGCCTGAGGCCCTATTGCTGAGATTTTCCCTCAATTCCTGACACCCATACAAGAATGGGGGTGTGGTTGTCACTGAAACAGGAAGACACAGAGAGCAATAAAAACATTGTCAGAACACTTTCTCACTACAAATGAAATCTAGTCATTTTCCCCTTTTGAACGATTTCCTACTCCCAGAGCTAGTGGCTATATTGGGGAAAGGGGAGTCCTTTTTTTGTTGGACTAAGGGCCCATTTACATTGCCCACACACTAAACTGGAGCGCTTTATTGTGCAGGCAGCTGTCTGTTTTGACTGCAGTGATCTGACGGTAGCATGCAATCAGATCTGATGCGCTTTCTTTTTTTTTTTGACAACTTTATTTGAGGTGCACAAAGTGCCATTTCTTTCACGTCAGCAGCATGGTGCATTGCGCTGCTATATGGTGACGTGGTGCCATCCTGTGCACAGCAAAAAAAATGCAAACTGCGGGCTGTGTTGCAGTGTGAATGGAGCACATTGAAAGCAATAGATTTCTGTGTATCGTAGCGGCGACCTGTGTTCTTCCAGTGTGGAAAAAAAAACAAATCAGTGTGGAATTAACATTTTCTATGGGACACTATACTACAAAATACTCCCACAAATGCCATTGATTGCAAACAAGATTTGTTAATTTTCAGACACATAAAAGTATTTTTCCTAACAGATTAACTCAAGACCATGTTGCAAAAATTAATACACCCTAATGAACGTCTTATTAGCTACATTTTAGACAACAAAATCCTAATTAACAAGAATTCAACTATAGGTGAGTCTAATTATTCATTAAACAGGTGTCCAGCAGACAGTTGCTTATAAAAAGGGTGTTACTTAACAAAGAAAACCCCTCCCATTTCATGCTGTCAGCAATGGCACCACATGGAATGGAAGAGAAATGTCACAAGGCCTGAGAAAGAAAAGAAAGATGAAGGCTACAAGAAGATCAGCAAAGCTTTACTTATCAGTCAGAATACTGTAGCAAAAGTGATACAAAGATAGAACTGCAACCATCTCACAGCGACATCCAAGCCATCCACAGAAGTTAAACACCTTGTCAGGAGTGTCTTCTGATGGGCAGGATTGAAGAAAATCACCATGCAAGTTCACTGCAGTTAGCTAAAAAAAGTAGAAAGCCAAACTGGGGTGATTGTTTCCCATGACACAATACGGTGTACACTGCAGAGGAATGACATGCATGGGTGTCGTCCATGAAGGAAGCCTATCCTAAAGCCCATGCACAATTAATCCCACCTAGAATTTGCCAGGGCCCATACTGAAAAAGGAGACTACTGGGACTCTGTACTCTGGAGTGATTAGACCAAGATAAATGTTTTTGGAACAGATAGCTTCAAAACTGTATGGCGTCGTAAGGGTGAGGAGTAAAAAGAAAAATGCATGGTGGCTACAATGAAACATGGTAGTGGTAGTGTCCTTCTGCGGGGCTGCATGAGTGCTGCTTGTGTTGGGGAGCTGCATTTCATGGATGGTATTATGAATTCACAGATGTACTGCTCTATATTGAAAGAGAAGATGCACCCATCACTCCGTGCTCTTGGTCATTGTGCACTTTTCCAACATGACAATGAGTCAAAACACATCTAAGGCCACTGTTGCATTTCTGAAGAAGAACCGGGTGAAAGTGATTCAGTGGTCAAGTATATCTCCTGATCAGAACCCAGTCAAACACTTACAGAGAATTCTGAATAGACAAGCTGAGCATCACTTTCCACCCACCATCCAGGCTCTAAAAGAGGTCGTTCTTGAAGAATGGAAAAAGATAGATGTTGCAATATGTTGCCAACTTGTTCAATCCATGCCTAGAAGACTTGACGCAAATCATGGAGGTCATACAAAATACTAAATGGAGTAGTTTTTGTTGTGGGGTGGATTCATTTTTGCATCAACTAATTTGAGTAAAACTGAAGATTTTGTAATCTAAGTTATATTATTAACCTTACTTTCATGTAATGAGGTAAACAAATGATCTATAAAACTCAGTTTTGTCAAAATTTTGGAAATTGTTCTTGTGTTCATTGATATATTGACTAAAATCTTACTTTTCAAAAGGGGTGTACTCATTTATGCTCAGCACTGTAACTCTTTAACAGTTGCTGCTGTTATATACAAGTAGAATGATGATACATGGCAACTCCAGCTGAGTGCAAGATGAAAAATGCAAAAGATGAGGTCCCCTTCCATGAAACAACGTGTGTTGGAATGATCAACGGATTCAGAGAGAGGCAACTGAAAATATGGGCAAGTCCTGACTTTTCCGTTAAGGCTTCATGCACACTGGATGTTTTTTCTGCTGCCCCTAGGGGCATCTGGCTTTTTTTTTTTTTTGCCTCTAGACACCCCTGCATGTTAGCCTATATGTCCATACACACATTTATAGGTGGGGCATTTAGAGACAGGAAAAAAACCCCCACTGGCAGCACATCCACGAGCAGTAGCGTTTTGGCTGGAAAGACACTTGGCACCTGTAAATGCGCCTAAATGCATCTAAGCAATAGGTGCGTTTAGCGCTTGAATGTTCATTTCAGTGTCCAGAATAAATTATTATTCTGGCCAATGAAACAATTAGTGGCCAAGTGCTTGATACCTCTAAATGCGCCTAAACATGTTACACAATCATATTTGCTGGCAAAACACTGCTGCCAGGAGGAATGGTGTATAGGAGAGATGGCAAAATGTCCAGTGTGCATGAGACCTAAGTCAATTTTGATATTTATGTTGACTGTATAATATAGTTCCCTGGTCTCCTCCTCCCATGCTCGCCTCCAGGACTTCTCCAGGTGTGTCACCCATCCTCTGGAACTCCCTGCCCCAACCCATCAGATTATCACCTACTCTCCTCTCCTTTAGGCGCACCCTGAAAACCCATCTCTTCAGGGAATCCTACCCCACCCCCTGCTAACTTGCCGACCTCCTCCACTCTTCCTACCACTCCATCCCCCACAGCTATCTCCTCCTGTACCACCATCCCCTCCCTCCTAGATTGTAAGCTCGAAAGAGCAGGGCCCTCAATCCCCTCATATTTTGCATTGTATTGTTATTGTTCTGTCCCCCTTTGTAATGTACAGCGCTGAGCGAACTATCGGCACTTTATAAATACTGTATAATATATATATATATATATATATTCACTGTGTATGTATATATAATATATAATTTTTTTTATCTCAACAAATGACACTAGTGTTCTTTGCTTACCATCCCAGTTGGGCAATCTGTAAAGGGTCAAGGACGCCATTATGAAAGATTCACAGGAGTGAAATTCTAGCTTTCCTTTTCTGGAATTGTATATGTAGTATTACAGGTAGACGTTCCCATGATAGTGAGCAACCAAACCCAATCCAAATACTATTTTAAAAAAATGTTCATATAATTTATGTTTATAATTTGTAATAAATAAAATGATTAAAATGTATTTTTGTGTGCACAATGACTGCAATTTGCACTCCCTCGTAAGAATAATGTACAAGGTCACCTATTCACTACAACTGCAATAGGCCAGAAACCTTGAGCCTGAAAAAGTATAAATTTCCTTTAAAATTTCATATTTTCTGAGAAATAAAAATAAGAGTAATATTTAATTATCTATTTGATTTACAGTTTATTGTGCCAATGTCTCATCTGTTGTTTGACCTTCCGAATCGCACAGAGTTTCATGTTCATGCACAGATATATGTATGGCATTTTGTTTTTTTTGTTGTCTTTTTTATCTTCATTTTTCAAGGGCGAATATGCATGTCATCAGATTTCAGAACACTTTTTATATTCTTTTTTTTCCCTTTGTTGTCCTGTCTCATATAAATAGGAATGTACAAATATTGTTTTATATGTAAAAGTTCTGTGCTCACAAAAAAAAAAAAAAAAAAAAGAAAGAAAAAGATGTAATAAACAAATAAAAAAAGAAGAAAATCAAATGAATTGCAGGACAAAGAATAACCTTTTATTGTCAGTACTTTGGGCTATTCGTCCTTTCATATTTTCTGCCCTATTATTCTTCTTCAATAAAATTGATATCTAAATGTAGTTCTATAAATGCAAACAATGCTAGAAAATGAAACTGATTTAGTGTTTGAAAGGTCTAATGTGTCTGCTTTTTTTTTATGTTTTGTAAAACCGCAAAGAATAAAAGGTTTAACGGTTAGGAACGGTAAACACTATAGTTAGAGACAGACGAGTATAGAATGGCCACCTACACACTGGTATATTATTCTTCTGTTTACGTCCTTTGAAATAAAATCCCCCCTTCCGCCAGCTAATCTACGTCTTTCTTCCACTATAAAAAAAAAAAAAAAATCGAGCCTGCTACAGAAGACAGTTGTAATTATTTAAGTATACCGAGAAGATTGTCTATACATTTACTCACCCACATTGAACATTTCACCAATGACACAGCCTTGTGTTGGTAAAGTGCTTCCCACCGGCTGCTGATGTGTTGATGGAAGGGGCACCTCACATTTTTTATTGCTGCAACCCAGCGGAATTCTGTTGGCTCACCTACACATGAGTGCAACAGAGGCCCACTGGATGAAATCCATTCCCTTTTACCCACCAGCAGCTTGTGTATTAAACAGCAGGGCTGAAATCATAGCTTAATGAAAGTGTCGCACAAACGCCGTTAAAATTTTGAC